CATATCCCAGGACGATGATGTCACAGTGCGATTCTGGCGCTGCAACAACGGGAAGAAGGTTTGGTATGAATGGGCTGTGACGGAGCCCTCCTGCTCTGCCATTCACAACCCCGCAGGCCGTTCCTACACCATCGGCCTGTGAAGAAGACGCGTCGGCACAAGTTGGCAGACTCCTGTGTTTCTGTCAGACTCTGTGGCAGTGGAAGAACGGGTGTCGTGACACTCTTTACACAGTTAAAAACCTGGACTTGTGTGAGCCCTTGAAAGTCCGCGGTGGTAGGCACTTTGCAGTTTTGGAAGAATGGATCGGATAAACCAAATTTGAACCTTTTCTTGTTTTTAAATCTCGTGCCACATTCACCACTCTCACCTGAACACAAAATGTACTGTTGCTGTGAGACTGGCTCATTCAGATTAGGTCAAATGTTAACACCGCGTCGTCATGCTATCCTTTTTTACTTGTCCTTATTGTTCTGAACTACAGTTCAACACAGCGATTTACACTCAATCCTGGACTTATGCCTTATCAAACACACATTCCATACACAATATTTGCATATTTAAACCCTTCTGCTCAACATGAGACGATAAGAAGAAGGAACTGCTTTTCAGGTTGCATACCATGACATTTGGGGCTGTTTGTTCATACCTTTGTTTTGTTCGAACCTTGTCAATAAAGACCACACTGTAGTGTTCTCTACATACCGTGCCCTTTTTGTTTGAAGCTTCAATGTTTTTGAGTCACATGTTAAATTGTTAAAATGTTAGACTTTTGGGGTTTTTTTAAAGGCAGTTTAAACACCGTTCCTGTGTTTTAATCTGTTGAAATTAAATGATGGCCTGATCTGCAAGGAGGTGATTTTTTTTCCTGTAGATGTCACCCTTTCTTGACCTTGACCCTAAGCAATCCATGATTCTTTATACAAATGAAGGTACAAGTGCACTGTTTCAATTCATTTTGCCCTAAGAAGAAATTCTCTCAAGTCCTCACTGTTGTAGTGCTGGGGTCAGGCTAGTTGTTGTTAGATGTTTGGAGAGATACACCTGCAACAGTTAATCACTTCACCTGCAACACTACATTGTTGCCAGTTTATTAATATGTGGGTTTGGAGTCTAGCACATTCCACACCCAGCTCTTCTATGCCACTCATTCTCTGTCTTCATTAAGTATTTCCATAAATTGTGCAGGTCTACAAAAGCATATTTAATGGTCTTTTCATGCAGCATACACTGCAAGGTTCACACTTAGGATTACAGTCTCGCTACAACACGGTTAGATATGAACTCCAGTTTTCCTTGAGCTTACCAGAGTTTCATGTAAGTGTGGCCGTTTACTACAATAAAGTTTCTATTTAGGGTGGCTGACCCGTATCCTGTCTAGTCAGAATAATTAATACTTTTTTGTACAGTTTTATTCTTGAAATTTGCTTCCACATGCTTGATAAGGAACTGCTTCCTGTTCTTTAGAAGAGCAAAAAAAGGAAACGGTCTCAAGTCACAGAAGCTCTGTTGGTTTTTAAAAACTCAGATATTTTAATAGAATATAAACAATATTAATCATAGCTCATATGGCTATTTTCTGGTACTTACGCCATCATAGAAACATTATTTTATTGGGTTAAACAATTGGCCAAGGTGCTCTGTTCACTAAAAAGCCTTTTACAAACGGAGTCGGGGGGGGCTTCTTTTACTGATGAAGGGAAAACAGCTGAGTCAGGCTGCACAGACTTAAAAAAAACATTTTAAAGACTGGTGTTACACCTTATGTGTCTGAAAAGTATAGTTACTCATAACATTTCCATGGGCTCCAGCAGTCCTGCACAACTATAGTAGTTATTATAAGTGAAATGCAAAACATAACTCAGCTGGAGTTTTCAGTGTCACCGTGACAAGGTAAACTTTATTTCAAATAAACCTGCAGTTTCCCCTCGTGTGGGCTTTTCATCAGGGAGCTTGTAAGGGAGATGTGCTTAACAAGATCAAGTGCAGGCTCAGCGTCCATGTAAAATCCATATTATGTCCCAGTGCTGAATAGTAAGAGCATGGGGACACATAGTGAGCACACATGGCCTGACTATTGTAAACTCAAGCCCGTAAAGAAAATTAACTGCTTTTGTTCCCCCAGAAAATCTGCTTAAACTTGAAAAAACAAATAACAGTTGGTGCACCTGCAGAGACCCTGTGCCAGCTTTTAGATCAATTCCAAGGA